CACCCCTGTGCTGCCATCCCTGCCGGGCAGGACCTGGGGACAGGCACCGCTGCTGTGTCCTTGTGCCACGTCGGAGAATCACTTTCTATTTTCTCTGACTGCAGTGGAAATGTTTGTCTGAAACTCACCCACAGCCCTCCCGCTTCTGCCTCGCCGGGGGCACAGAGTCGCCTTTAAGAGGAGAGCGGCACCGAAAGTCGGGGTGCCGCGGGCAGCCCCTGCTCTGGCTGCGCTTCCCGGCGCTCCCACGGGGATGACTCACCCGGATCGGATTGCTACGGCTTTATTTGCTTACAGGGCGAACCGGCAGGATGCTCTTGAGGAAAAGTGGAGGGTTTTTGCCATTGGAAAAACTTAATTTGTTGAAACTGTAACTGCAGGAAAACGTGGGATTCACATCTCCTGCCTGGAGGCAGGCGGCCAGCAAGGCTGCTTCCGGCTGTGGGGACATTTGGAAAATGAAAGACTGTTTTGATTAAGGCTTTTCTGCTCTTCAAGATTCAAGGCAAAAGTCTAAAATCTGAAACTTAACCAAAAAATTTCCAATCCGTCACAGCTGAGTGTTTTCACGGGCACAACATGCTGCTTCTCAGATCTTCACTTGCCACCCAAACCCTCTGTTTTCCTCCCTGAGGGTGAAACCTGTGTTGCAGGTGCTGGAGGTCGATGTGGGAAGAGGCAGAAAAGCAGGAGGTGCCCAGGGTGCTGCTGCCCCTTCCCACACACCAGACCCCACTGACATTGGGTTACATCAGGGACTGGCCTCAACAGCCCTCTTTTGTCCAAGATCTGGATAAGCCCTGTATGAACTCATCCTCCTGACAATCCAGTGCATGGTAGCACCTGCCAACCCTCCTTCATCACTTGTGTGGGAATTGGGAATTCTGGGGGTTCGGCCTGCATGCAGAGGCTTGGGTGCTTGGGGGTTAGGGATCAGTCCTGGATAAGGTGCTGGGGGGTGCAGGATCAATCCCATCTCTCCGTGAGGGCTCACATGAGACACCAGCAGCAGCTCCAGGACGGATTAGCCCAGCCCAGCACCTGTCAATCTGCCTAGCCCGTCACACAGGCAGAGCACAGGGCTGAACACCACCATTAATAGCATCTGGATAAGCTTTATCCATTTCTGCTATAATCAGATCCTAAACCCTCCTGGACAGTGACTCCTGAGCTCGAGCAATCCCGCTGCCGTTCCCAGCAGCCGAGGAGCGTGTGCTCATTGTGCGGCAGCGATACCATCGGCATTGGTAATGGGAGCCCGCGATACAGCCACTCCTGGTTTAGCCCTTTCAGGAGCACAGCGGCAAAATGAGGCCTTTGTGATTATTCCAGCATCCTTTTATCAGGCATTTGCAGCTCTGTAATTCCTCTAAGCCCCTCTGGCTGAGGTATCTCAGCAATCAGGTTTGCCTGCAGCTCTCCAGCCACGGCGCCTCTGGAGCAGCAGATACTTCTCTGCCACCACTGCCCACAGGACAGAGTCCCATCTCCCTGGCTGGGGCTGCAGGGATCCTGGGGACCCTCTCACATGTGGATGAAACTTCGGGGCTCCCACGGGTGGTTGATGCCCTGCAAGCACCTGTGTCAATGCTGGGTCTGGGTGAGAGGAGACGCTCTAGGAGCCCTTGCCCTGCAACCCCTCCTGTCCTGCTGCCTTTCCAGACCCCTGTGGCATCACCTGAGCCCTGAGAAAGGGCTGTGTCCCACTGGCAGCTCCCACAGTGCTCAGCACCCTCATCCCATCAAGGAGCCAGAGCTTCCGACACAGCTAAGTATAAACCGCGGGGGAGTGCGGCTGGTTGGAGACATCCTCCCTGGAGCCGAGCTTCCTTCCACGGTGTTTACACGCTGGTATCCAGGCAGATCCCAGAATAGACCTGAAGAAGAGCTGTCGCTTTGCATTAAGGTCACTTGTGCTCCAAACTGTCCTGGATGTGTCTGTCCCATCCCTGAGGAGCAGCCGCCCGTGCCCACAGCGCTGTGCAGAGCACAGAGCCACGGGTGCCACATCTGGGGGAGTAGGGGCTGCAGGGCCACAACAGAGGCTTCCATGGATTTGAAGAAGCCTTTCCAGTCCTGAAAGAGAGCCTGCAGAGAGCTCCTGATCAAGATACAAGATAAACCCCTTGTTCATCTCAATAGCATTTATTTCCTCCACAGCTGATTTAGCAGATTAGATCAAGGTCAAACGTGACCATTTCTCTTCCACCAGCTCAGTGTCTCCAGATTGATAATTTGTGAGAACAAGATGGATTTTGGCAGCCAATGAGAGTCCTGCTCAGCCTGCCCCAGCCCCAACCCCAGCCCAGCCTCCTTTGGAGCCAGATCATCTCTTACCCTGTGGGCCTTGGAGGTGGGAGAATGGCTGTGTGCATTGAAATCAGCATGAAAAGGCTTTCCAAAGCCCACCCCGATCAATACAAAATATGGAAACCCATTGCAATCCTTCCTTAAGGATGTGGATACTTGATTCTGTCTCCTGAGATGGGGTCCAGGCAGGACTGAGCGAGCAGGGGGCTGCGCTGGGGCTGTGGGGCAGCTCTGAGGTAGGTGGGGAGGGAGTAGAGTCTGGCAGCCTGGGGATGTGCCAGAGCACAGCTCAGGTTTGGGGGTGGTGATGCAATCTGGAGCTGAGATCATTAATCACTTCTCTTTCTTGTAATGTGGAATAAGCCTATATTAATCCTTCATGCCAAAGCCCCTGCACGTCCCCCTCCCTGCCACAGCCTGGCTTCATTCCACCTTCTCCACTTCCCTGGAATGCACATTTGCCCTTTACAGACTGAAGCATGTTCAGTGTCTCATTAAAGAGTCACTTTACAGGGTGTTTTATTTCATGCTTTGTTAAGGACAGAATCGGGTAAATGCATCCTGGCAAAGGATCTAATAAGGAATTAGTCAACTTTCCAAAAGCATAAAACATGGTTTAATGGCAAAATCCATTAAGAATTAGGGTTCATGTGACAAATAACCCAGGGATGCTGGTTTGATGTTTCTGGGAATACACTGGCTTTAAGGACTTGGGATCCTGCAGGAACACTCTGACTGTCCCACTGTCACCCAGTGTCCCATCATGTCCCACCACATCCCACCGCATCCCACCAGCCAGTGAGCTCCATCCCCTCACCTCCAGGACTATGCTGCCTCCTCCTTGTCTGAAACCCCCATCTGCTCCCATCACAGAGAAAGCCTTTTGCTGCAGAGCACTAAAACCAATGAGCTGACCTGTGGGACAGCAACCACCATAATGGACTTCAGCTGCGAGAGGAAGGCAATAGCCCAAGAAAGCTCTGCAAAACTCCTCATGACAGGAGAGTTGACATTGGCAATGCCTTGGAGACCAATTCTCCTCCATCAGCCCATGGCAGGATGTGCATCAGCCCATGCCAGGATGCCCATGGGGGCCAGGACCAGTCCAGGGTGGGACAGAGAGGGAGGCAGAGACCATCAGAACAAAGTGGAGGTTGCAGGGTCTCCCAGGTCCTACTCCCAGCAGCGTGTGTGGGGACACCAAGGCACCCAGGGGGAGTCAGGGGAGATTATTCAGAGCTGACACCAGTTGGTGGTTGCAGATGATGTGTGTGAAATGTCTCCTAATGTGCTAAGGGAATCAGCTAATTGATTTGCTGAACCACTTGCTAATTAAAGTATTAACGTTTTAACTTGTGGGAAACATAGTAGGAGAGGCCAGAAAACCCTCTGGGGCCAGAACACGTTTGCTGGTAGCTGGATCCATGACTCGACTGGCTGGCAGCAGGACACAGTGGCTTGGGGTGGGCACAGCTCCATCTCTAGCTGTCCCAGGGGTGAAGGACCAGCCCAGGTACTGACAGTGTGTCCAAAGACTCTCTAGGACCAAGGACTGGAAGCAGCACAGGGGCTGTCAGTGAATTTTGGTGACTCCATCCTTCAGGATAACTCACCAACCTTTGTCTTTCCCTCTTATTTCTTATCCTCAACTCTTACCAGAAACTGCTCTGATTTTCCAGAAGATGGAGCAAAGTCAGTTTTCATCAGTTGCTCAGTCCCTCTACACAGGCTCTTGTGTCATTCCTCCATCCCCGTGGGCAGGATCACCCAGCAGTGTCCCTGTGTTTCAGATTTCACATCCAAGATGTGAAATCTTTTTTCCTTTTCATTCGGGTCTTGCCTAAATTGGTAGAATTGAAACACAAAACCCCCAAGTTAGGTCTAGCCCAAGCATTGTGCTTTTGTCTAAAGCACCTGCAATACTGACAGTGGTGATGTGCTCGGGGTGATCCAGAGGTTTATCTAGAGTCTGCTTGGGAAAGAAACCCTGGCTGCTGCTCCAGCCCCCCATCCCTGGGAGAACTGGCACTGTGGTGGGCACATGTCCTGGCTGCCCCCATGGGTACATCACAACAGCTCAAACTGTTTTTGGGAGCAGGTCGGTGCCTTCGTGTGCAGCTGGAAAAAGGGAGCACGTGCCTGGGCAGCCAGCAGTGGGGCTGGGGGCTTGCAGACCCCCCACACCCACACAAGGGCAGGGATCCTGCATTTTAGGGGCTCCAAACCCTCCCAGGGGAGCTGAGGGGGCTGGAATTACGGTCTTTAAGTACCGTGCATTAAGCACTTTCCCTGGCAACTGCTGTTTCCATGGAAAGCTTTGACTCTGGCTCTCGGAGCTCTCTGCAGTATCTCACAAAGATCACCCTGTATTTCACCCCACAGACCACAGCCCAGACACCACACTTGTGGTGGGTAAATCTGTATTTATGCAATTATCCCCTGGCTGGGACAGTGCTGGGGAGCTTTGGTCACTTGCTTTTTATCCCACAGATTGTGTTGAGTTTGCTCAACACAAGGGGTGCCTAAGGGGGCTCTGCGAAGGCTTGTGTTGCGCTGTGGGGATCACAGCAGAGAGCAGCAGGTGTTCCTTCAGCCACAGCTTCCCAGGGGACTGATTTCACACCAGCAGCACAGTTACAATTTCATGCCCAGACTTGCCCAAGTCCCACTTTTTCCTGTTTTTTTTTCAGACAGTGGATCAGGGGCGGCGCTGGTCCCTGTCAGCCCGGACCCTCTTGCTGCAGATGATCTGGTGGACAAGATGGTCGGTGGAGCTGCAGAGTTCGGGCACGGCACAGGTTTGGCCGGTGGAGCTGAGGATTTTGGGCATGCCAAGGGTTCAGATGGTGGAGCCGAGGAGCTGGGACATGCCACTGCACTCAACCTGCTGCCAGCCACGGAGGACGGTGCCAAACCAGCAGCAGAGGAGACAACGTTGCTCATGCAGAGCCATGTCCTGCCAACAGCCACCACGGCCCCCAGCACTGATGCAAAAAAACCTGTCCCTGTTAAGAAAAAGCCACCAACTCCAAAGCAAATAAATATGGGAAGAAAGCACCCAAGGCTCAAGCCCACCCTGGCAGGGCCCCCTGGGACTGCCTCCCCAGCCAGCCCACTGCGCTCCCGGCTCCCCACCACTGCCCAAGATCCACGAGCGCCAGCAGAGGACATGGACCAGGGGCCCCCGGAGCTGCCCTGGGGGGACCAGGCCACCACCAGCTGCCCCACGCTGCAGATCTCCCCATCCACCCTACCCCCAGCCCTGCCTCGGCCCTTCCCTGACAGCACAGGTGATGCTGAGGAGGTTCCGACCGCGGCTCCCAGCGGTGACACCGTTATCCCGATGAACAGCGCGGAGAGAGACGCGCACAGCTCCTCATCAGAGGAGAGCCAAGAAACCACCACATCCACCATCATTACCACCACTGTCACCACCACGGAGCCCACCCCAGGTAAGATGAGCTGCCAGAGCACAGGCACAGGGGTATGGCACCTGAGGGGGAGCAGGTCTGTGTTTAGGGCAGCCCCCCAAAACTAGGACACCACCTGGGTTTGGTGGGCTGCCTAAAATCTTGGTGCTCAGAGGGCTGGAGCACATCTCCTATGGGAAAAAGCTGGGAGAGTTAGGGTCGTTCAGTCTGGAAAAGAGAAGGCTCTGGGGAGACCTTAGAGCCCCTTCCAGTGCCTAAAGGGACTCCAATAGAACTGGAGAAGGACTTTGGACAAGGGCCTGATGTGACACGACAAGGGAGAATGGCTTCCCACTGACAGAGAGCAGGGTTAGATGGGATATTGGGAAGGAATTCTTCCCTGTGAGGGTGGTGAGGCCCTGGCACAGGCTGCCCAGAGAAGCTGTGGCTGTCCCATCCCTGGAAGTGTTCCAGGCCAGGTTGGACAGGGCCTGAAGTAACCTGGTCCAGTGGAAGGTGTCCCTGCCCATGGCAGGGGCTGGGACTGGATGATCTTTGAAGTCCCTTCCAGCTCAAATCACTCCCTGATCCTATGATTCAGTGGGATCAGCTGACTGAGGAGAGACCTGGGTGCTGGGTTTTGGGGTGCGGGAGGGAGCTGCCAGGGGACGGTCCCTCGGTGTGATTGCTGACGTGTGTTCCCCCAGTCCTGTGCAGCATGAGCTTCCACGACCCCGAGGGCTACATTGACTCCACAGACTACCCCCCACTGCCCCTGCACGGGTACCTGCAGTGCACCTACAACGTCACTGTCTACACAGGCTACGGCGTCGAGCTCCAGGTGAGAAGAGCTTCAGTTTGGGGATCCTCACAGCCAGACCCCTGTGTTCACAGCAGCAAACTGTGCAAGGCACCCACAGCCCTGGGCACCACTGCCCTGGGCGCCTGCACTTGCTAAGATAAACCTTCCCAGGGAAAAAATAGATTTTTCTTGGGCCTCCTAATAAACAAACTGTACGAGGGAGCTGATACACCCTGAATGTCAGCGATGATCAAACCGCTTAAATGTCACACAATTAATTTAACAACGAGGCACTGGCAAGCAATTTGCTAAAAAGGTACTTGGTTTTGGTGGGAAGAACACAAGTCCCCTGGTCCCTGCATCCCCCTGCCTGCTGGGAAAGGTGTGGGTGGCCCCAGTGGGTGCAGGAAGCCCTGAGGCAGTGGGGTGGGCAGCCCAGGTCCCCTCTCCAGCCAGTGCAGGTGCTCACCATGTGCCCTCCCATCAGAGTGGGGCATTCTCACCAGGTTGATGTGCTCCATCAGCTCTCCCCAAAATACAGCACCCCTCAGCCTGATGAGGCTGGGAGCAGGGCAGCGGCCTCAACACATTCCAAACACTCTCCAGGTCAAACCAGCCCAGAGTCCCCATACTCTGGCATTCAATTCTTTCTTCTTGCGTTCTCTCCATGTCACTGTTTGCATCCAATTAACATCCATTGACTTTTAATCTGTGTAATTAAGAATGTGCATTAGAAGGAGCAGGGGTTCCACTGGGGTTGTCCCCTTCAAGTGGGCACACGCTGTGGCTGATCCCTGGGGTACAATGGCAAGGTGGCCACCAGTCCCAGAAGTGGGGCAGTGGTGACAGCACAAGGTGAGCACTGGGGTGTCTGAGCATCTCAGACACTTTTCCATGGCAGTAACTGTCTCCTCAGATCTGCAGGGTGCTAAAGACAGGCTGCTTTGCTGTAAATTCGCCTCTGCCCATAATCCATCAGGTGACACCACTCCTGAACTTGCTCTGTTGCAAGCCAAGGTTTTAATGGAGCATAAAATTAGCCTCTACACAAGCCCCCAAGCTTTGCATTTCCCTTTGTTGATGCTTCTGAGCATTTCAGACAAATTAAATCACAACAGCAGGTCCGTGCTGGCAGAGTGTGGCCTCATCTGCAGCTGGGCAGTGCCCTGAGCTGCCCGACCACAGCTGGGCTGTGAGCTCCGGGGGCTCTGAGGTGAATTCCATCTGGTAGGTGCCGGAGAGTGCAGTGCACCTTCCCCAGATGCCCCGTGTGATGTGGGTAATTGGTACAACTGGAGAGGTTTGGATTTAATTCACAACTCCTGGAGTGGAGATGGGGAGTAAGTCCTTATTGGGTTAGGAAGGGGATGAGCTTTCCTGCCAGGATGGTGTAATGCAGGAATAATTCAAAGGGGATTCCTTTCTTCATGTGGGTGGGCTGAACTGGGAGCTCTGGAGGCCAGAGCCACTCAGGGATGCTGTTTTGGGAGATGCCAGATCAGGCTGGGCTGGGAGCTCTGGAGCAGGTGCTGTGTTGCTCTGTGTTATGGGTGCTGTGGTGGGGTGACCTGGGGTGGATGGTCCCTGTGTGGAGCCTGAGCTGGTGCCCACCCCGGTCACAAGTGGTGCAGGGTCTCAGAAGGTCCTGCTGGAGGCTGAACATGGAGGGGGGTGTGAGAGCTTGGGGTCTCTACTTGGCTCCCTCCCAGCAGCCCCCCACATCCCTCACAGCAACTCGGGGACAGCTGTACCCTTGCCTGTCCCTGTGCCAGCCAGGCTGTGCCATGGCAGCCCTGAGAGCTGGGAGCAGCCAGCTCTCCAAATGCTTCGTGAAATTATATTTATTTTTAAAATTCTTGAATCTCCTTGGCAGGAAATAGAATTTCCCTAAAGAGGTTTTCTAGTGGGTGAGTGAGGCTGGCAGCCTGACTTGAGGATCCCTCCTGCCTTCCCAACAGGCTCTGGAGGAGCTGACATCAGTGCAGACATTGATTAAAGTTAGAACTGGTCCTCCCAGCCCCTGGCAGGAGCTCACACATATGGTCCCTCTCACAGCGCTGACGGTCCCTGGCATGAGGCCACTGCATCGTCTGGGCTCTCTGGGTACTCTGGACTCCTCTGATGATGCCAGCCTGGTGCTGGCACAGAGAATGGCATGTGACATTCACAGTGACACCCAGCTCTGGGCTGCTCTGGGCCTGGGTTTGCTGGAGGATAGGCTGCTGGTGGAGTCGAGTGGTGTGTGTGTGTGTGTGTGTGTCCCATGGCACCCAGCAGTGCTCCTTAGCTTCCTCCCTTCCACAGAGCTCTGCCTGCTCCTGCTGCTCTCCTGAATCCCCTTCCCAGGGCAGAGCTGCTCCAGCAGCACTCCTGAATGCTCCCCTTCCCAATTTCCTGGAGTGATTTGGCTCTGCATAGTGTGCATGATGCCATCATCACCAGAGGGAGCCAGCTGGGGAACAGGTTTGGCTGGAGGGATTTCAGAACAAAATGTGTTAGAAACACCCTGGGAACATCTTTGCAGGGATTCAGACCCAGCTGGGGAAGCAAAACTCTGTCCTGGTAGGAGCTGGCAGGAAGTAGTTAGCATTGTGTGGAGCCCACTCAGCATCCCTGGATCCCATGTTCCAAATAATTCATCCCAAATAACACTTCATTCCATTTATTAATAATTAGATCTGAGCCATCCCACAAGCTGCAATGTGTGCCAGCTGTGCTGGGGAGGCACATTTCTGGGACAAAACCTGGAAAGGAAGGAATGACCTGGGGCAGGTTGGGGGTTGGGTTTGCACTGAGCCCATGTTTCTGATGATGCTTTTATCTGCCAGGACCCAGCACCCTGCTGCAAAATAACGGCAAAATCAGCTCCTCCTGGATTAAAACATGGGCTGGGGTGAACTCAGGTATACTCTGACCCAGCCTGGGGGTGCTCAGTCCAGCCCCACAGCAAAGATCAGGCTTTTCCAGGGATTTTCCTTCAGGTCAGGCAGGGAGTCATTTGGTGGGACTAGGGTGGTTTCTCCAGAGGAAATCTCCCTCCTCCCAGCAGAAAGGCAGAGGATGCCAAGGGCTGTGTGGGGGTCCATGTAGTGCCAGTGGCTGTGTCCTACCTTGTGGGCCAGGGGGAGGTGGCATGGTGGTGACAACAGCCACCAATCCCTCCAGTCACAACATCATCGGGAGTGCTTGTAATCACAGGCTGGGCTGGGTGCTAAATATAGAGCCCTGGGCTCGCACACTTAAGGAAACAAACGATCTGATGAGCATCTTTCTGCTGAAATATGAGCCCATTTATTAAGCTAAATGGACGTGAAATGCAAATGTGAGGTTACTGCTCAGCTATTTCCAAATAATAATTAAAGGCTTTTGGGACTACTCATTAGACGCACTCGCTGTGTGACTCCCCACCACTCCCCCCACTTGGTGGGGTGAGGGATCCTGGGGAGGATTCCCGGTGCAAGGAGTGGATGGTGAGCACCGAACAGAGGGAGGGCTGTGCTGGTGCAATGCTCTGTGGGCACTGTGTGTGCCCAGGGCTGGGATGTGAGCCCTCACCTGGAACCCTTCACCCGCAGCTCACAGGTCTCTGCTCCCCCCCAGGTCAAGAGTGTGAACCTCTCTGACGGGGAGGTGCTCTCCATTCGCGGTGTGGATGGCGATGCCCTCGTGGTCCTGGCCAACCAGACCCTGCTGGTGGAGGGCCAGGTGATCCGCAGCCCCACCAACACCATCTCCGTCTACTTCCGCACCTTCCAGGACGAGGTGGTGGGGACCTTCCAGCTCCACTATCAGGGTGAGTGTCTCCCTGATGTGGGCAGGGGTGGGATGGGGATCAGTCCCATTGGGGTGCAGGGGTGGGAGGATGGTGGGCTCTGCCTGCACAGACCAGTTGGGCTCCTGTTGCACTGCCTGCCCATGCTCAGAGCATGGGGTGTTCAAGGTGTTGTGCCCAGAGCAGACGGTTCAACGTGCCCTGATGTCTTCAACTCTGGCAGTGGCTGTGCCTTTCACGCCTGCCTTGCCCTGTTTCTGTCCCTGTGCAGCAGCTCTTCCTACACACACTGAGACTGTGAGTCTATTTTTTACCTCGAAGAGCTGTAAAAAATAAATGAGTTCAAGCAAATTATTTTTAAAATAGAAACTGGGTCTGGGCAAGAGCAGTAACAGGTGAGGAAGCAGCAGAGCAGGGGGTTGGCACCTGGCAGCCAGGTCTGTCTGTGACATGTGGGGACATCCAGCACGTCCCTACGTTCACCCCCCTGTGGGGTGGTTGGGAGCAGACGAGCCCTAAACTCCAAATGGGTGTGCTTGTTGCAGTGTTTATGCTGAGCTGCAACTTCCCACGGAGACCTGACTTTGGAGACGTCACTGTGATGGATTTGCACTCGGGTGGAATTGCTCACTTTCACTGTCACCTGGGCTACGAGCTGCAGGGTCCCCGGGTGCTGACGTGCATCAACGCGTCCCGGCCGCACTGGAGCAGCCCCGAGCCCATCTGCTCAGGTATGCTGCCCACCCTCAGAGCTAAGGAAAACTGGGGTCCACAACCAAAAATGTAGTCCCTTTCTTCGTGCCATGGGTTGAGTGAGGTCCTGGGAGAGAGTGAGAGCGATGCCCAGCTCTGCACACAGCGCAGCCCAAGGTACTGCTGTTGGCCAGGCAGTGACTGCAAAATCTATCCCCTCATTAGGCAGGAAATAAACAGGAAATTATAGATTTTATGTGTAAGTGCAAGTATATATGTGTGAGTATAAATATGTACAGATAGAGCAAAGCTAAACCAGGCAAGAAGTTTGTGCATTAGGGACTGAAGAGAGCTGGGCAGGTGCCAGCGGAGGGGGTCATCCATGGGCTGTGGGAGTACAAATGCCCCCCTCCCCTCTGCCCTGCCCCATCCCCTTTGCCTTGCCCCGTCCCCCTGCCCATACCAGTGTGGCTGTGTTCTGTTCTGACAGCTCCCTGCGGAGGGAAGGTCCACAATGCCACCATCGGCCGTGTCCTGTCACCCAGCTACACTGGGAACCAGTCCAGCAGCATGTACTGCGTGTGGGCCATCGGGGCACCCCCGGGACAGAAGCTGCACCTGCACTTTGAGAAGCTCCTGCTGACAGAGAAGGACAGGTGAGGGTCCAGGAGCCACGTGGGCTTGGAAGTTCCCAGCTGGTCCCAGCTCCTACCTCAGACCTCCTGGGGCTGGGTGGGACACAGGGACTCCTGTCCCACGTAACGTGCCGTGTCCTGCCGTGCAGGATGGTGGTGTACAGCGGGGACACCAACCAGTCTGCTGTGCTCTACGACTCGCTGCGTGCGGAGAGCGTGCCCTTCGAGGGGGTGATCAGCGACGGCTCCTCCATCAGGATCGACTTCCTCGCGGAGGAGCCCGCGGCCGCCACGGCTTTCAACATCCGCTTTGAAGGTGCTGTGTCCTCATCGCGGTGCCCCGGGGGCTGTGCCCCGAGAGCTGTGCCCAGCCTCAGCCAGCACACCCGGCCTCGGGGCACTCGGGTAGTTACACATGGCTGCAGGAAGGGTCTCAGCTGCCGCTGGCACCAGCAGACCTGGTGCTCCCCTGTGCCACTGTCCCTGTGTCGCTGTGGGCACACAGGGTGACCTGAACCTCATGGGTGCTGTAACAGCTTTGGGGAATATATTTGTCTAGGAAAAAATAGGGAAAGAAATAGTGAAATGGCATTTCCTCCAGCAGGAAAGCTTGTTGGTGAGCTGAGTGTCCATGGGACATGTCTCCTGTGGCAGGGATAGGGCTGTCCTCCCACTTACCCATCTGCCATCCTCCAGATCCATCTCCTTCAGGGATAAGGTGCAGGACCAGCCCTGGCAGCTCACACAGCTTTGCTCCAGTCATTTAGGTGGATCCCACTGGAGGATCATTCCCATGGGAGCCCTGTGCCCCCAGGCAGGCTCAGTAGCACTCAGTAATCCCAGGGTGGATGGCTCAGCAAACATAGTGCCTGGCAGTGCTGTGAGCATGTCCCCACAGGAGTGGGGTTTTGTTAAACCTGCATGGCTCAGGGCAGATAAATTGTTGCTAATCCTAATTGCCTGTAAAACGTGCCATGGAAGAGGCTGTCCATGCTAGTGGGGATGCAGGGGTTGGTTCCTGGCTGGGGACAGTAGCAGAACCTGGGGCTCACCCAGTGAACCCCCAGAGAGGAAAGAAGCTCCATGTCCCTGTGGCTAACAGGACTTCTCTTCCAGCCTTCGAGCGGGGCCATTGCTATGAGCCCTACATCCAGAACGGGAACTTCACCACCTCCGACCCCACCTACAACCTGGGCACCACTGTGGAGTTCACCTGTGACCCCGGGCACTCCCTGGAGCAGGGCCCCGCTGTCATCGAGTGTGTCAACATGCGGGACCCGTACTGGAACGACACGGAGCCGCTGTGCCGAGGTCAGCCCCTGTGTCACGGGCAGTAGTGGGCAGTGAGGGTGAACACCCCCGTGACCCCGCTGAGCTCTGACCACCTCTCGCTCTCGCAGCCACGTGTGGGGGGGAGCTGACCGCTGTGGCTGGGGTGATCCTGTCCCCCAACTGGCCGGAGCCCTATGCAGAAGGGGAGGACTGCATCTGGAGGATCCATGTGGGTGAGGAGAAGCGACTCTTCCTGGACATCCAGCTGTGAGTAGCCCAGGACCTCAGTATCTGTCTCTGCCACAACAGAACACAGCCCCCTTTGCTGTAGTATCCCGTTCTCCTTGCCCCAGGGATCTTGCACCATCATGGGATCATTGAATCCCATAATGGTTTGGGTTGGAAGGGATTTTAATGCTCATCTCATTCCTTGTCATGGGCAGGGACGCCTTTCACTAGACCAGGTTGCTCCAAGCCCTGTCCAATCTGGCCTTGAACATTTCCAGGGATGGGGCAGCCACAGCTTCTCTGGGCAACCTGTGCCAGGGCCTCACCACCCTCACAGAGAAGAGCCATGCCATGTTCCTGTTCTCCCACTCAGAGCTTCCCTAATCCCTGTTGATGCACTTGGCACTGTGGGCAGGACTGAGTGCTGGTCCCTGAGTTCAAAGCACTGCTACACCATCCATTGCAGCAGTTTATTGCTCCTTCAGTGGCTTTGGAACTTGCCACAGGGAGTGACGACACAGCAGCACGTGGCCATGTGCCACGTGGGGTGACACACAGCACCATCAGGAGCCGGGTTATATGGGGTTAGGAGAACCTGGGGGCATCCATGAGCTGCAAACAGCTGAATCTTTGGGCTGAATGTGAAATACAGGCACTAAGGGAGCAGAGCCCAGCAAGGGGCTCAGCACAGGCTGAGCATGCCAGGATCAGAGGGAACGAGATCTGATGCTGGGGCTGGGAGCCCTTGGCATGGTAATGCTGCCTCTGTAGAGGGAGTCTCCTTTGATGCTATTTTGGGTTTTCAAGAGGAGGACGTGTTTCAAGTAGAGGCTTAGAGTCATAAAGGTTTTAAAGCTTCCCATAAAATCCCAAGTCAGAGCTCCCAGTGCACCTTTCCCAGCTCTGTGGGTGCTTGGGCTGAGCAGAACTGGAGGCCAAGTGATTTGAAATCATCAGACATAAATGTCACTGAGAAAATCGTGTTTGACAGAAAGCAGAGATTTACTACAAATGTCAGCTTGCCATGGGGATTAGCTGGGCTCCTTCCAAGAACATTCCTAATAAGTCGTTTGGGTATCAGCTCAGAAATCTCCTGTGGGGCCAGGGGCACCCTGCTGCTTCTCCCCTGGCCCTCTCCTGCCCTGGGAAAGGGGAGGATGGGGGTGTTCCTGCCTCAGCCCCTCCTGTGCCACCCAGCAGCAAAGCGCTGGTGCCGGCTATGCCCCCACTACTGGT